TCCACAGAGACCCACGGAGGCTCCACGGACGCCCCAGGTGAACCCGGGAAACACTCCAGACACCCCACAGAGACTCCTCATACATCACTCCAGAGACCCCGCAGACTCTCCAAAGAGATTCCACATATGTCCCACTGACACCCCAGAGACCAGAAGTGCTGGAGGCACCACACTGAGCCCCCACAGAGACCCTGTAGACACTGCTGAGACCCCAGATACGCCATAGGAGCCTGAAGCCACCACACAAAGATCCCAGACAAACTTCCCAGAGACCTTGGAGATGCTGCAGAGACCACAAAGACCCCAGGGGCCCCACAGACACCCACGGGGCCCCTCCACAGACACCCCAGAGACCACAGAAATCCCACAGACACCAACAGAGACCCCACAGACTCACCGACATCCCAGAGAGATATCCAGAGCCATGCGGGGACCTGCAGAGAACCCCAGACGTCACAGGGACCACACAGACACACAGACACCTGCAGGAGCCCAACACAGGTCCTTGGCCTGAGTCACGTGGTCCCTGGGTGGCCTGGGGAAAATAGCGAGGGGAAAAGAAGCTGGAAACCAATTACAGCCCAGGTGCCTGAATTAAAAATTCACAGCAATCACCAGATTTCTTCAGACCATGAACCCTCTCCTCAGACAAGCTCAGGGAGGCTCCTGTGAGATGTCTCTACCAGTCTCTCATGCAAGGAGCCCTGTATATCCAACCATTGCCCCCACAGTCTTGCGGGTTCCAGCAGGCACATTTAAAGAAGCCCAAAGAGTGACGAGGTGAGAGTGAGGCTTCCATCTGCCTTGTGGCCAAGCGGCGGTGCTGCTTTTCCAAATGCCCACTCTCATTCGGAGCTGCCCCCAGGCCAGCTAGAAGGCGTCCCAGGGCCCCCCACCACTCCCGAGGCCTCTGCACTGGTAGGCAACCCCGGTCTGAGCCAGAACCATGGCCACTTCCCCGAGGTCACCGTGGTGGCCTGCAGGCCACCCCCTCTCACGAAGCCACTGTTAGGGACATTCTCTCCCAGCACTGGCAGAACCCAGGTGACCTGCCTGGAGAGCCCCATGGAAACCTAGTGTAGGGTGACACCTTTCTAGGTGGCCTAAGAGGAACATCCATTTGAGGAAAACTGATTTGTCCAGGAGAAGTTAAAAATTCCCAACATGTCCTGCCCTGAGTTCCAGTGTTCCTGTGTCAGCTTGGAGAGGCTGCTTTCTCTGAGTTCCCTCCAGAAGCATGCTCCTCTCCGCATGCAACCTCACATTCAGACATCTCCCTGTCCGCGTCAGCTCGCTTGGTGGGAAGCTGGGTTCACCTTGTGCGCTCATGTGTTGACCTGCTCCTGGCATAAAAGCCATCTCTGTACAAAGCCGTCAGTGCCAAATGGTTCCATAAACAGAGTTTTCATTTGTTGTTTTTAATAAAGAGAATTTCTAAATTCTACATGAAATGCTTTCCGTGGGTTAAGTGGGAGTCCCCGATGCTGCAGAGCAGAAGTGACACGCCACTCGAGTCTGGCGTCTGTTGTAGGCTGTGTTCCGCTTCTGCAAGCCTCTGCGCGCTGTAGGTCAGGATGGAGGCAGCCCTGAGGTTATCACCAACTCCCTCAGGATAAGGAGACACCATCTCCAAGTTCAGAACGTGGCCACTGGCAGCCACGGTTCTCCATGCTCATCTGACAGAAGGTGTCCCCGCCCCAAACATGCACTTTCCAGGGCTCCACCGAGGACTGGCACCTGGCAGAGCTGTCCAAGAGAGGTGAAGCCCAGCCCGAGCCAGATGCATGTAGCGGGACGAGTGTGAGGGAGGAGCCAGCCAGCATGTGGACTCGGAGGGAAAGTGCCAGGCTCAGTGGAGGCCTGTCCAGCAGGGCCACAGAGGACGCAGACACCTACCTGTCCCTCACCCAGCGCATCTGGTCACCCAGCATTAGGTGACGAGAACTGTGCAGGCCGTGTGCCGTCGTCACCTGGTCTGTGCCCATGGCCGCACCTCAGCCTGCAGGCTTATGTCCCGGCAGATGACCCAGCACTGCCAAGCCTGCTGCCTGCCCAGGTAAGGCTCAGGCGACCTATGGCACGGCTGCTGCGCAGGGCCTGCTGGCTTGGCATCAGAGGACCAGGCCCTTCCTTTAGCCGGAACCCAGAACTGCACATGGCTTCCATGGGCCACCCCCAAGGTGAGGTGTTGGCATTTCGAAGCCACTGGAGATAGAGCCTAGGGTCCCACCCATGCTAGGCGAGTACCCTACCACGGAGCTACCTCCCCCTCCGTGCAAAGTTTTTCTTATCACTCACAAGATAGCATCTCACTGCTTCTAACAGGAGCAGCTATAGCTGCCCCAGCACATTCAGCACTTGGCCAGAAAGAGAGGCCATCAACCTCTCCTGCCTCCCTCTGCTCTGCACCCTCTGGCTGTGGAGCCACTCACCAGGATCATGCGAGGGGCCCTCTCGCCTGACCTCCAGCCAGCAGCCACCCAGGACAGCTGCACCTCTGGGACAGGGCCCACCAGCTCTGCTGACTCCCTTCCCCCAGGACCTCTGTGGTGGTGACTCCTGCAGGACATACCCTGGCCCAGTCGCTGCAGGCCCAAGTCTTACTGTCCTTCGTCACGGCCCCAGCCATGTGTCAACTCCAGCCCAAATCACACAATGTGGACAACACTGCCCCTTCGGGGTGAAGGTCTCAGCCATGGCTGGGCAGTGCTTGAGTCCTGTTCTGGTCTCCTGCGTCCACTCGGGGAGACAGACTCAGGGCTCACCACCCCCCCAGGACCTGGCACGTGCACCCAAGCTGCCACCTACTTGCTCTGCACCCACGCCTGGCCTGCAGCCCACCCTCATCACACAAAGACAGGCCTATGGCACATGTGTGCAGCTAAGGTCACAGCTGCAACAGACAGGGTCACACCTGCCTAGTGATCCAGACTTTGGGGGCCCCAGGTCCCTTGTGTGCTGGGGCAGCATGGCTCACATTCCCTCTGTGCATCCCTGATGGGGGACACAGGGCCTCAGGGACATCCTCCCAGGCCACCACCGGCTCCAGCCCTCTCTGTCCCCACAGACACGCCCCGCACTTTCCTGCCTCTGCAGTGCCTCCCAATGCTCTCCTCCCACCAGCATTTCAGCCTCCCTGGATCCAGTGTCCACTGCCCTGCTAGTGTTCCAGGGGAGGTCAGGGACACCAGCTCTCCACACCTCCCTCCCCTCACGGGGTTCTGCCCACAATGCCCTGGGGCTGCTCTTCACATGTCACCATGACCTCCGTCACCAAACGACACGAAGGATGCTGCCCGGCTCCATCAGAACATGCTGCAGCCCTCCCAGGATGCCTGCTTCCCTTGGCTTTCTGTCGGGCCAGCAGCCTGGCTCTGCCTGGAACACCTCATGGCTCAGGGGTTGCAACACCCGTGAGCTTCAATCGTGGCCTCCCTGACCCTGCTGGGTCCCCAGGCTCCAGTACCCAGCAGAGCTCACTTACACTGTCCTCTAGGCACCGCCTCCCTCAGGAGCCCAGCCTGGGCACAGGCCACCTCCCTGTCCACTGTGACTCCTTCAAAGGAAAGAACTGTGTGCTACCAGATCTCACTGGGGGAGAAGGGGCAGGGACTGGGTGCTGACAGACAGATCCAACACTGGGGGTCCCCCTGGGCTGCTGGCTTTGACACAGGGCTCGGCAGACCTGCAGCCCTCACAGCCCTGAAAGCCTGATGAACGTGGATCCAAATCCACCGCACCGGGTGCAGTGCATGCCCTCAAAGGCTAGAGAAGCCCAGGCACAGCAAGACCTCCAGAACAGGTTCAAGTGCGTGACTGTGCATGGTGTGTCTCTAGCATGAGGAGCTTACTGTCGTGATCAGCCACAAGAACAGGGTGAGACGAGAGTCTGTGTGTGAGCAGCTGAGGGGTCTAGGAGACCCACCCAGGCCCCGAGGACCTTCACCTCTTCTTTTGGTGGCACTTCAGGCTTCCACAGAGCAGAAGAGCTCACTGCAGCACCACTGTCCCAAGCTCACTGCTGTGCACTGGCTGAGCAGGGAGCAGCGTCCCAACTGCACATGGGGGATGTTTTGGGGGCCTCCTCAGAGCCCTCCCTGCACCTGGTCTAGGAGAGGAGGGCACCCATGGGGCCCGGTGGGTGCTGGGTTCAGGCTCCCCATTGTGCTGGGCAACACTGGTGGGCACGGTGGGCAGCAGGGCCAGCACCAGTGCAGCCTCTGTGCAGGCGACAGCAGGCAACCTCGCTGCACAGGAAAGGAGGAGAGGAAGAGAAAGGCAGGAGGGGTTGGCTGTGCTACGCGGGCACCCTTGGGAGTGCCCTGCAGCAGATGAGTGGCTCCCATGTCACTGCCTTCTGCTCTGAGATACTAACGGGGCCGACCCTCCTGCAAGGGGCAGGGCCTATGGGGCCTGAAAGTGAGCCCAAACCACAGTGGGGAGCGGCTCTAAGGCAGACATGGGGCTGGCCCCTATTCCTAGAGTCTCCGTGTTCTACACATCTGTGCCCCAGACACCCTGAGGTCAGAGGCTGCCGCCACCCCACGCTCCTCGGCCAAACCCAGAGTCCAGGTCCCTGGAGGAAGCGGGCAGCCTGAGCTCCTGGCAGGGGACAGAAACCAGCCACACTTTCCCTTCCCCAACTCAGCCTCCTGATGTCCTTTCCCCTTTGGAAGTTAATTTGTAAAACGTTCTTCTCAGAGTTGTGAGAATTTAAACAGTACTCGCCACTGAGCACAATGGGTGGCTCCAAAAGAGAAACCACTTCAGGGGGGCTGCTGTGGTGAAGACAGAGCCCCTGGGGAACCCAGGGATGACAGCTGCCCCACCATCCCCTGGAGACAGGCCCAGCGTAGGCGTCCCCTCCGATGTGCATGGCGTTTCCTCCCCACGACCCTCACAGCCTATCCCTGCTGTCAGGAGTCCTGGAAGGCTCACAGTTCCTCACATGTGACAGAAGCCCACCCTAGGGGACACACGACCCTGTCCCCGCGCCTCACCTGGCTTCAGGCGCCCTGCTGCTCCCCGGCGCCTCCGGGTCAGGGACCAGAGCCGACGTGCAGCCCCCCGAGATACCCGCTTCTCAGCCATCTTGGTCTCTCACGAGGGTCGCTGCAGAGCAGAAGCAGCTCCAATTCTCCAGGACGGCCACACGCAGGGTGACCAAGCTCTTGGCTTCTACCGCAGCTGGGTGACGCGGGGCAGGCTCCAGTGACCTGCGGGAAGCACCGGGTGTGACGTCCCCAGTGACCTTGGGCTTGGCCGAGTCACCAGAAAGAAGAGGGTCTGTGTTCTCGAGCTGCGGCGCCAGCCCCGGGGCTCAGGTTGCCAGTGCCCTGAAGCCCAGGTCGCAAAGCACGGTGCCACTGAAGACCCGGGCAGTGTGGGGATGGCCACGCCCGCCCATCTGCCTGCAAGTCCTGCACGCTTCCTTCCTTACACAGTGCCAATGTCAGGGAACCACTCAGGCCAAAAACACCTTCCAGGCTCAGGAAGTCTCAAGTTCAAACAAACAGCCACGAACTGGGAGGAAGGGAGGGACGGGCTGCTGGCGTTTTTGAAATAAACTGGGAAGTTCCGTTGCCTGCGGCTCTGTCCACTGTGGAGGGCCAGGAGGGAGAGAGGAAACTGCAAGGTGGCCTCACTAGGCAGCAGCACTTTCCAGGGGCGACGCCCTGCCTGAGCTCTACCACGGCTCCTGGCCTTAGGCCCCACACCCACAGATGCCTCTGAGAGGAAGGCAGGGGACAGCGCTGGACCCCAGCGATGCCCAAGGTGCTGTCCTGGTGATGAGGTGTGTGCCGGGAACACCCCAGGTTTCAGAGCTTCATGCCTGATCCTGAAGGGGTTTGCTTCAGTGCTGTTTAAACCTCATTAACACAGAGGCTCAGAGGGTTCGAGCTCTCCCCTTAGGGTCTGCTCCCGGGACAGAGGAGCAGGGAAGATGGGGCACCAGGTACCTCCCTCGCGCTGCTCTGGCAGGTGAGACTTGCTGCAGAACAGAACCACACTCACAGGGCCTCCTCCCTCAACTCCCGCTGGGTCCTACGAGGGGCGGCAGCTCGGGAGTCCAGGTCACACGGTCACCCTCTGTTCCTCCCAGAGCCCCCTTTTGTTAGGTTTCGCTGTTTGCAGCACAGCCAGCTCTGTGAGCAGTGGCTGGGCTTCAGTGCCCCTGGTCACACCTACTCTCCCCACAGCTGCGAGATTCCCCTCAGGGTCGAGGCCCTGTCCTACCCACACACACTCGTGTGTCTCTGTGAGAGCGTCCTGCATGCGGGTCCAGCACTTGACCAGACTCCTCGTCCAGACGTGTGTACCAGAGTGGCAGGGAGCTTGTAAACAGAGCAACAGAGAACAAACGCTTCTTCCTCCAGACCCAGAGTCACAAAATGAACGCGACCAGGTTCACTCTCAACAGAAACACAGACGTGAGAACTCAGCGGGATGAGCGGCCAGCAGGCAGGACACCCCGGGGCTGAAGACGCAGTGGACAGGCGATGTGTTCACCCACACCCCACACGCAAGGGCACAAAGATGGGCCTCTGTCCCCAGGCCGCAGACCCTTTGGTCCGATCGTGAGTCAGCAGACCTGCGGGGCAGTTGGTTGCTGTGCACCAGTTGGAATGCTTCTGAGTCAGCGTCCACGCCACGTGGCCTCTCGTGAGGAAAGCTGCTCTGTGGACATTGATTCCATTTATCATAAGACAGCATGTCTTTCTAGTTCTCCTCCCTACTCCTTCTCCCCCTTGTCCCCTTCCTCTTTCACCTTCATTTTGAACCCTAGGAGTGCTGAGCTACAGCCCCATCCTTTAAAAATTTTTACTTTGAGACAGGATCTTGCAGTTTCCCAAGCTGGCCTGAACTTGCAATCCTCCTGCCTCTGTCTCCCAAGAAGCCGGGTTACAGGTGTGCACCACTGCACAGCCTAGCCGTGCTTCTTATATATCTGCTACTCCCTAGAGGCCTGCCTGGAGCTGACTTCTTTGCTACAAGGTTGGTGTCCATGGCCAGCACACAGGTTTTCTTTCTCCCAGGACAGCAAGAGAAGAGCATACAGAGCTCAAGATGCCACCTGGTGTCTCCAGGAGCTGGTGCAGGCCAAGCTGGGCCGATTCTCGCGTCTGAAGGCAGCAGAGTCTGCAGCAGCCCGTCCATCAGACCTGCAGACCCTGCACCATGGGGCTTCTGAGCAGAGGTCTGTGGCCTCTCAGGGAGAAGGGACTGAGCCACACTGGGATCATCAAATGACATGGCTCACGAGGAAACCCTGAAAGCGGAGCCCCAGGAAAATGGGAGCAAGGCCAGGGGCTCACACAGGGGACCAAGACCTGAGCCCAGAGGCCACAGGCCATCAGCCGTGGGCATCATCCTGAGAGAGGCACCGGCAGCCACAGCAACCAGCACGGCCAACATGAGACCTGCTGCCAGCAGACCAGCTTTGCATTTGGCTGTTTCATCCCAACAGGGCAGTCAGTGCACAGCACAAGCACGGGCCACAGACCCAGCCTCCTTGCCAAGTCGCCAGTGCGACTCTCAGGCTCTCCTCTGAGCTCAGTCAGGGTGCTCAGGGCCCTGACTATCTGTGAAGTCCCTGACGCCTGTGAGCCCTTGCTACGAGATAGGCAGAGCTTACACAGAATCGAAGGACGTCCTGCTAAGCACCTGCAACTGTCTCCAGATGACCTATAGCAGCCCCGAAGCCATCGTAAATGCCTGTAAACAGCATTACTCTATTTCTTCCCATAAATACTTATACGGCACTGCAGGGCATGATGATAGGAGAGAAGCCTGTACACGTTTGGTGCAGGTGCAGCTTTTACAGTATATGTATTTGCTCTGAGATTGTTGAACCTCAGATGCAGAGGCTGCAGTTATGGAGGCATGGCTGTAGTGTCCTTCAAATGTCCTCTTCATCCGCCCGGAACACAAGTTTTTCAAAGAGCTCACACTTTCATCTTATAGCCAAGCCCACTAAACATGGAGAACTCAGAGAAGCCTACCAGATTCTGAGCCAGGCGGTCTGGAAGCCACTGACTTGGCGTCGAGTGGTCCACTGCTGCCCAGACCTGTGCAGAACAGCTCCTCTCAATCTGCTCCCCACGCACCTCGGTGGGTCCGCTCGTCCTGGGCCAGGACGACACCTGCCAGGCTTCCTGGAGGGCCGGGATAGGCAGCCATGGCCACACCCCCAGCCAGCTTCGCTTTCCAGGACCAGTGGAAGGGAGCATTTCAACGGAATGTTTCAGAACAAGGAGACGGCGGAGTTGTCCTAAGCATGGCTCTTCTCCCATCTGGATGCCTGGCCATTCCGCAGACCATCCAGTCCTCGCTGGGTGTTAGCCGGAGGCTGCACAGAGTGGCCGTCTAACAGACCGTCCCACCCGGAGCACAGCTCATGGGAGTCCTCATGCTCTAGCCCCACACCAGGCTGCACAGGGTGGGGTCCGTAAGGTTTGGTGGTATCCATGGCTTCAGGCCTCCTGTAAGGTCTTCACACACATTCTCAGCCTTCATGGACAAGGGGGAAACTTTGTAGGTTTTATTAAGTGACCACTTCGGGCTTGCTTTCCATATTCTCCATTACAGGGCATTTCAGTTCCTTCCAATTATTCCTCTACCCTAAAATGCCGCTCTGCTGGTCTTGATACTCATTTCCTCAGACACAGCAGGTGTAGGAGGGTGCAAACTCTTCCCTCCCTCTCCTGCATGCTGCATGTTTCCCCCATGACCCACAGGAAGAGGGGCTGATTCAGAGCAGTGGCCACCTGCCCGCTGTACATCTGCCTGTTGGTCAGTGTCAAACGGACACTTACTGTGCATGAAGGGCTGCATGGACAGACAAATGGACAGACTGCACAGGAAGCACCAGCCCATCAGGGTAGGTGCAGGCCCTGGGCTGCCACCTGGCCAGCCAGATACCTCTCCTCCACCTGTGTCCAGTGTTCCGCTCCCATGACCCTCAGAACTGGTCACCATGGCCAGGACTTAGCTCAGGCCGGGGGTTTAGCTCAGTGGCACGGTGTTTGCCTTGTAAGCACAAGGTCCTTAGTTCAATCCCCGGTACCAATAAAACAAAACAACAAAAAAAATGGTCTCCAGTGTAATTCAGGAAAATCACAATGTCCCATTAAGACACCCTTCTATACTTCCTGGGCCCGTGACAGTCACTAGCTGACCAAGAGTCCTATATCTGGGCTTGTCTGCACCCAGAGTTACTGGAAAGCAGGGTCCCCTCGGTCCCTCGAAGGACAGCAGGCAGCATGGCGAGAAAGGCAGTGGCAGGGCTCACTGCTGGGTGTGACTCACGGTGTGCTTTCTTTCAGTGTCCTGGCAGCATCAGCCCACAGAAGGGCTGCAGCCAGAAAGTTCCCATGTGGGCAAAATTCCAGTTTCCTCACAGATTAGGCGTGCAGCACATCCTGAGCCTTGGGACACTGAACACCCAGAGGCCTGGGCTCTGTCTTGGCCTTTTCACTGACTGGATTCACAGAGCTGGGAGGATACCAACTCCGTAGTCTCCCAGGGTGTAGTGTTTCACCCCTGGCTCCAGCATGGCCCAGAAGTACCATGCTGTTGCTTCTCGTGTGCCCACCTGTAACACCCAACATGCAGTTTCCCTCAGAGGCCAGACCAATGCAGGGCTGTGATTTTCTCTGCAAGCTGGTGCCAGGCACCACATGGAGACACTAGGGTCCTCTGAAGAGATGGGGGACCAACACAGGCTCTCACCAGGCTCTTACCATCATGACAGGTGCAGCCATGGCTGCAGGACTCTGGCTCTGCAGAGCACAGGCACAAAGTCCTGTGGGGCCACCTCACCCTGTCACAGTGCCCGGGACAGGGTGTGGGGCAGCCCCTGCTAGGGCACCAGGGAGGCGAGTATCTCTGCCTGAGCCTGGCTGTGAAGGACATAGACCTACGTGAGGTTGGGATCCAGAGCCAACCGGAAGTGCAGGCATCACAGAGGGCCACACAGGGGATCCCCAGAGACTGTGGGGCCTGGACAGCACCCAGGCCATGGGCATCATCATGGGGCCAGAGAGAGTGGTGAGCCTCACTGCAGGGCTGGGTGCAAGTGTCCCACCTTGGGGACAGAGGAGCAGGCCCTGGCTCCTGTAGGCACAAGAGGAGAATCGCCGGAAAGAAGAGGATTCGTTCCAGTGTGGAACAGAGATGCCAGTAAGCAGCACCACCACAGGCCAAAATGTGGGAAGAGAGGGAGGCCCTGGCAGAGCTGGTCACATCCAGGAGTGGAGCCACCTGTCCTAGGTGTGGGCTGGGGACACAGGGGAAGGAGCTGGCCAATGGGCTCCATCAGGGCTGACCATTGGCAGCCACAGGACTAAATCATCTTCCCAGGAAGAGCAAACAGTGAAGGAACAGTGAAAA